AATTAAAAACAATGTGTATCCAAATTAATAATATGATCTACATTTCACATCTAATCTAATTAGCGAAACATTAAGAAATATTAATGTAGATCTGTGTTAAATTCTACATGTTATGCAAGAAAATGATAAACATAACACGAAAAAGGATAGATATGATACAAGAAATTACAAGGGTATGTGAAAATTGTTACAAGAATATACTATGTGAAAAAATAGCTAGAGCACAAAATATTAATAATGTCCTATATATGCTTAAAGATACAAGTAAATTTGATTATTTACGTATTCTAAATGAGTAGCAAAAAAGACAAATAGTTTAGTTCATTATTTCTTATAATCACTTTATCATTGTTCAAGTTCAAAATTATCTTTATAAAATTTAAAATATCAAAATCTCAAAGTCAACTATTTATCATATACTAAATAAAAATGGATTAATATCAAGAATTAAAAGAAAGAAGACATATCTGAAGCCAGAATATTAACAACATCGACTTTAATTTGCTGAAAACTATAAAAATTGGTCAAAGATGATCTGATAAATCAAAATTCAAGATTTTTGGATCAAACAAATGTGAATATTATTAAAAATAATTCAACAAATCATTATATTAAGTCTACAGTTAAATTTAACAGTGTGAGAGTTATAGTATAGAATTACTTTACTTCTTATAATATTGGCAACTTTTATAAAATTGATAAGATAATGAATAGTAAGTTATATTATTAAGCAACATGATTTTGCTATCAATAATATTATTTTTTAACAAGCTAATAATTTCAAGTATATAGCCAGTAATATAAACAGTAGTTCATTGATAATGATCTATCAGTTTTGGATTGGCTATCTCAATTACCAGATCTCAATCTAATTGAACACTTATGGAATGAGATCAATCATTATATTCAGCATCTTTCTAGATTAGTTACAAATAAAGATAATTTATAAATGAAGATACAACAAGTATGAAAAAAGAAATTAATACTAATTATTGTATTGATTTAATTCATTTTATATCAGAATGAATTAATGATATAATATAAGTTAAAGGTGACTATACAAGATGGTAGAGAGATATTTAATTTATATTATTATATATAAAAAAACTAATATTTTTATTTTATTCTAAGTTATATGATTTATACTCAAAAAGAGCAAAAATAATGCAACAGCAAAATTTGAATAAATGCTATAATGATGAAATAATACTACTCATACTTAATTGAATTTATCAATTGTGATTCGATGTTTTTAAGTGTGTGTGAAAATATTGCGATTTGAGAAATTTTAATTATTTGTTGCAGTACTTTTAATCGCCACTGTATCTTAATTGAATCTTGACGACGATGTGAGGCAAATGAAATAAAAATGTTGTGTGTTTAGAAATTAAATTTAAGTTTGATTGATTTGCCTGGAATTATTCATAAGTTAATATTTTTCTTGGATGATCATTTTCATATCCAGTTAAATATTAGACTGTAATTTACTTTTATTATTTAAAGATCACACAGAAAGTACACAAGATGAAAAATTTATTGCAATAATACGGGACTTGGTTCAGTTTTATGTTGAAAATAAAAAATTCATTATCATCGTGACTATTTCATGTAAAAATGAAATCAACAATCAGACAATCAGAATAGCCAAGAAATTTGACAAATTCAGTATTAGAACTCTAGATATTCTTACAAAATCTGATACGATCAAAGATTGTGCCAAAAATCAATGGTTTAAAATAATGAATGGTGAAATACATAAACTAATTAGAATATTATATTGTAAGAAATCCTTCACTGAGTGAGCTTAAATCTGGAATTCATTTGAGTCAGCAAGGAAGATGGAGAAAGAAGTAGGATCATTATTTCATTAATACTAAATATTTTTCTAATCAAATTTTTTGGTTAGTCCATTGAAAAATTATCTATTTGACAACATTCTCATTTTCAAAGCAGAATCAATGTAGAAAATTTGCGTGTCAAGTTGAGTAATTTGCTTATAAAATATATTGAAAGTGGACTTCCTTCAATAAAAAAGAAATTGAAGAGCAACTTGATGAGGTAACATTTTTGTACATATTTATGATTCTTATATTTGAAACTTCTTTTTTTTTAATTAGAAAATACTTTATAAATAAATAATAGGTTCGTGCTAAACTTGACAAATTGCCTGATCCCATAACCGGAAACCCACAGTTCGAACTTAACCGCATGATCGGAAATTGTGCATCTGCGATAGAAAAAGAGACAAAAGGTGAAAAGAGAAATCTGTGGCGAGACGTAAACAAAGAATTCGAACGATTTAAAATTGAGCTCTGCAGTACACGACCAATATTTGTTGTCGGTAAATTACGCGACGGCAGCACTGCAAAATTCGACGTCTTGAAAGAATTTCTAGATCCGGAAACATCGGAATTCAACCTTGGTTTGGATGAATCCGAGCCGCTTAAAGAAATTACTGAGGCGGATATTCAGCGTAGAATTAATGATGCTAGAGGAAGACATTTGCCGGGATTTATACCGTATTCTGCCGCGTCAGAGTCTATAAAAGATTTTCAAGAGAAATGGAAAAACCCTGCGTTTCATTGTTTGTCGAATATTCATGGTATTATGAGTAAAGCAGTTGAAGAGTCGATTGAAGCGAGATTTGATCGATTTCCGTTGCTCGTAGGACTTATGAAGTAAATATTAATTAATAATAAATTGCTAAATAAACTTGATATTTTCATCCTTATTTAATTTGATCTTAATAGACACAATGCCATAAAGTGGCTGGAAGAATGTAAGAAAGAAACACTCGAACGACTTAAATTCAACATGTCGATGGAATCTTCTCACCCATTTACTTTAGACGTAGGATCGATGTTTGTAGGAAAAATCGCCTATCTTGCAGCTCTCCAAGAAGCAGTTCGGAACGATAATGATCGACAACCATCTGATAATCTCGATTTAATCGCTGCAGTGATGGCCTACTTCAAATTATCATTCAAACGGTTTGCTGACTCCGTTGCAATGACTATCGTACATGCATTCATCGACAAGTATCCCAAATCTGTTTATGAAAAACTACTGATGTCAATTATCGATGGCGGCTATGATGCTAATGAACTGATACAAGAAGATAACACTATTGTTGTTGCTCGTGAGGAATTGTTCCAGCATGAAAAGCGTATGCAGGAGGTGTTAGATGATTTGGTGCGGTTTGGTGTTTGATGTATATTATTACTAGTGAAAATACGATTTCCGATCAATAGATTTTATTATATATGTATCAAATATTAATTTGTGAGAGGGTATTAGTGAACTAATTAATCGATAGTTTTATCTATATAAGTACTATATATGATAATAAGAAATATATAATCTTTGGAAGTTCTGACAACTTTTTTCCTATAGAAGAGAATCTTGCTTCAAAAGAACAGTAAAACCTCCCTAAATGCACTCTAATGCACCCTCTAGCTTAATCCAAGTTATAGGTCCTAGTAGTTGAGTCTATTCTTTAAATGCACTGTATGTTAAACTTTTTCAAAAGCATTAATAAAATTTGAAAAAAGCATTTTAAAACTTTTTAAAGTTTTATTAATGCTTTTGAAAAAACACTATCTTCTATAAAATTAGCTAATTTACTTAAAGTTATTATATTGATATAGGAAAAAGTATAGTAGTTCGGAAAATGATATATCCACTGCTCAAAAAACGCGAAATCGCATACAAATCATATTAATCCTTATCACAAATTTCTAATACTAAAGTAGACAGTTTAAAGTAGTGAAAAATATTGTAATGCTTTATCATCCAAATTAGAATTTTTAAACAGTCCTAAATCAGTTTCAACAATTTTAAAAATTACTAATTCTAGAAAAGTCAAATTGTTTAACTATAATAAGTAACTCTTTTTAAGATATTGCCATAAATAAGTTTCATTAATGGTTATGAATAAAAATTATCTCTAAAATCAGCAATCTTCCTGGGACTATTTCAGTCCTGGGATGATCCAAAACCCATCCCAAATTCTAATTTAAATATTCTGATTTCTCAAGAAGTTTTATTACTTATTTTCAATAATTAACTTATATTAAACCATTATTATAAGCAAGTTTAATTAGTAACTTGTAAGAAAAAAATTTGGAACTGATTAACAACTCTAATTCAAATAAAATATTGATACTGTATAATAAAAAAGAATTGATTACTTCATCAAAAAATTTCTTATACATATACTTTTCCACTTCCATTATATATATTGACTCGCTTGGTTTATACAGAATATGCTTTTCTTTTTTTTATTTTCATAATCAATCCTTCAATTTATCTAAATCTGGATCAAGAATATGTGATACATAGTCTATTATAGGGATAAGAAATGATTAATTAATACATGTATTTGAGAATTGATAATGATAATACATAAAACGTGTATGTATGTACATGCAATTGAAAAAAATGCAGATAATATAGTGCCATGACAAACTATGTACTTTGTCATTTAACAAAAATATTAATATTGATAATATGTTGAATTCCATCATGTTTTCACATTCGTATCGATAAATTTTTTTAAATTAAACTGAGGTTTGTTATATCCAAACTCTGCTGCTTTAAATTCCATTAACTGTTTCACTATCATTTTTTTTGTTTCTTCTCCGTAGTTATTCGAAAAAAATTAAAAACCTTAAAGGTATATACGAAAGAATTTTAAAACTTGTATTAATTTTGAGAATATGATGATTTAACGTTAACAAGTTTACGTCAAGAATTTCAGATACCCCAAGTTCATTACAATCGAATGATCAATGCAAAATCGAGATCTTTTGGAAGATGAAGTTCACAAAATTAATGATCCTAACAAAGAAAATGAACCGGACCAAATTACAAATCCATTGGTGTCAAAACGCAAAGAACGTGTCATTGTGTCGTCACGAATAAATCATATATCGAATTACCATCGGATCACGACGCAATTATTGATATGCAAATTTTAAGATAGTAATGAGAGAACGATTGTAAAGAATAACGTGAACATGTTAAAACAAAACTGCATATTGGACCGTATTTTAGATACGAAACGAAACTTTATTGCATATCTACTTTATTACATGAAAGAAAAACTTTGTAACGTGTTGGTATATTATTAAATTATTTTTATTAAACTTGATAAGCCCCTCATTATTATTATCATTGAAAACAAGGAGAAAATTAAGTTTTATGTTGTTAATTAAAAATTTAATGAAAAAATACGTTTTTTTAACAAAGGATTAAGAATGTCTTAGTACATTCTAAGTTAGTCTATTAGAATCATTTCCCAAGAAAAACTTGTATCATTGTCCGTTAGAATTAACAGTTTTTTTAGACTATGTTATGGCACCGAAAACTCCGAGGCTGTGCACATATCATACCACATTAACGTTAATGATCAAATCCATTGTTGTTTGAAAATACATTCTCGTTATCATTAGTCTCTCAAAAAAAAAACAAAAATACCAAATTCGCAGCATAACGACAAAATAGACATGCAGTAAATCAAAAATAAACCATCAAAGAATAAATATACGGGCAATTGGAGCACAGTATTATAGTAATAAATCTTGAGCTGTTTCTTCCGCACTGCTACAAAGGAACAACCTAAAAATGCCACGAATTGACCCTTCGGGTCTGTCAGATAGTCAGCATGCTAAAAAAGCCAGCCATTGTATCGATAGTTTACGACGTCTTGGTGCTCTTCATGCCGTTGATTTGCCAACTGTTGTGTTCTGTGGTAATCATTCTGCGGGGAAGAGTAGTTTGTTGAAGGCTATTTCCGGTGTACAGGTATAAAATGATATAAGTTTGTTGAGAAGTTTATACATTATACTAAGCCAGTTGAACAAATAAATCTTTTGTAATTGGATACAGACAGCACATGTACCCGATGTGTAATGGAAATGGAATCAAAAGAATCCTGGCAATGTCAATTAAAACTAAGAAAAGAATATGACGACTATGGCGATGAAAAATTATCACGCCCATTAGAATTTGAGTTCGGTAGCCTTATCAACGACACAACCGATGTAGAACACATGGCAAGACGTGCACAGAAAGCTCTTAATCTTAAAGAGAATTGGACTAAATACAGTGGCGATCAAAAGTAATTCAACAAATTATTAAAATTACTTATTATAATATATTTCCACAAATACATGTAGCTAGTAAAATTTATTAAATTAATAATTATAATACTGTTACAAGTTTGTTTACTAATCATTAAACTAGCTTATAAACTTGAACTTGGGTTGGAAGAGAGTAATAGACTGATAAAATATTAAAAGAAAAAGAGGGGTATCTAAGTTCTATGCCAATTTTTATGGAAATTGTGTTTACTTAAAAAGGGGTAATAATATGAAGAGTTGTGGAAGAGTAAAGGTAAAAGGAGAGAGAGTATAAAAGAATAGAAGAATAAGTAATAAAGAAGATTTAAAAGATTTTAATTCTTTGTACTTGCATAAAGCTTTCCAGAGCTAAGACAATAATTAGTAACAAAAACTCTTTTACTTTGTTCTTCTCATAAATGAGAAATACCAAAATAACAAAATCAAAATTCTTAATATGATGCATAACATTTAAAGTTATCAAATATTTGTATTTTACAAAATATATAAACTTCTTTGCCAAAAAGTAAATACAAAATTTAATCTGTGAATATATACAGAAAGAGGTTATTCTATCATATTCATGATTTAAATTTTATATTTACTTATTAGTAAAGAAGTTTATTTATTTTATAAAATACAAATGTTTGATAACTTTAGAAGTTATGCATTATATTTAAAAATTAATAATTATAATATAGTGATTTGTTTAGTATAATATGATATATTTATTTTATAAAATATAAATATTTGATAACTTTAGAAATTATACATTATATTCAAAATTAATAATTATAATATAGTGATTTATTTAGCACAATATAATATAAAACTTAATAATTTAATAATAATAATTTGTTTAGTACAATATAATCTAAAGTTCAAAGTTAATAATAATAATTTGCTTAGCACAATATGATATAAAGCCATCAGCAATTTGTTAGATACAATATTATATAAGATTATTTATATATAAGATTTGAAGTGTATAAAGAAAATATAAGAGATGAAAGATATTTGGAAAAGATTTTTTTAAGAGAGATTTTTATTTTTAGTTATAATATATTTAGTTAAGACTTAGATAGTATTTCTATTTATATATTTTTCAAAAATATAAAAAATAAATATATAAATAAGAAATTTAAATTAAAGTGAAATAACTAATTATATAAAAGTGAAAAATTAAAAAAGTAAAATAATGAAAAAGTGAAATAATATATAAAGAATAGAATAAGTAAAATATTGAAAATATGAAATAATATTAGAAAATTTTACTATTATATAAATATTTTCATGTTTTTCAATTATTTTTAAAATTTGTGATTTTTATGTTACTATTATAATAATATATTAATAATACTAATTTTATATATAAAAATTTTATTGGTTATTATTAATATCAATTTTAAAATAATCAAATAACTTGTACAAAATGTATATTATATTTTTTTAACTCATTTTCTTATTAAAATATCAAGTTGCATAAAATCACTAAAAAAGTAATTTTTAATAATTTATTACTACTTAATAAACAAATAAAAATATCAAATATCATATAATTCTAAATAAAAGAATAAAATTTATTATTTATAAAGAATTGTAAGAATACTTTCTTACGTGAAAAATAATAAGATAAATTTATTAATTGTTGTAAATAAATTATATCAATTGAGA